ATTTCATGAGGATGTAAATTGCAGATAGGAGACACTCGGCAAACCCCAAACAACATAAACATGAAGCAGCCCAGTCCAACTGTTGAAAACCAAAGACTACAGATAAACCTGGAAAGCAGCAAAAGAAAGTGTATGGAAATAACATGCAAGGAAACAACACTCAAATAACAGCTGACTTCTTATTAGAAACTATGGTGGCCAGAGGAGAGTAGAACTAAATTTCAAAATGCTAAAAGCAAAAAAACAAAAACAAAAACACAACAACAAACTAAAAAACCCACAAACGTCTTATAGAGTTCTAAAAGACTGAAATTGTGTACATGGCAATATTTAGTCCAATGAACTTAAATTAAAAATCTATAAAAATAAGAGGGCCAGTCCTAGGACTGGCAGACCCTGAGTGACGGATGAATGGATGACTCTGAAACATTTCTGTGAAAGAGAAGGTTAAGGGACTGCTTGGCTACAGGGACCAAACAGCCCCATTCAACCGCCTCCTTAGGCTTTTATTGTAACAACAGTTTGAACTAAAATTAACTATTACATACTATCAGTAGGGTATGCATTCTGGTGAAGACACATGCGTCTGCAGTGTCCTTTAAGTAAGGACGTGTCTAAGTAAACACCTGGGGTCTCAGACTTGTTTGGAAAAGTTAAGGCAGGGGCAGGCGCCTTCAGCCAACTCCTGTCCTGTGCTCCCCACATCTCCCTGCTTTTTGTTTTGCTGGCTGCAGAAGACAGAGGGAGGAGGTGAACTTTCTGCTTTGGAATGAAGCGAGTTCACTGCTCGGGTTCTGATTCTGTAGACTATAAGAAAACAAAGAGAATTATAATGACAGCAATGGTTAGAAGACAGGGTGCTTACAAGCATTAAATCTTGCCTTCTAGCAAGGTGTAGGGGATAGATTATAAAGGGGAAGGGGCTAGGGTGAGGAATGTAGCTACGTGCAGGCCTGGGGTCTGTAGACATCAGCTATTAGGCAATGAGATGATGTTGTTGAGATGATCTTGACTCCTGGTGGGTGGGTCTGACCATGCTTATCGGCTCTGCTTGCTGGAGTCACAGCTGAGTCACCTCCCTAATTACTTCGCACAGGCCTTGAAAAGAAAACTTTAAGAAAAACTTAACCCCTAGTCACATATAAGTATATGTGTTCTAAGATTTAAAATAATATGATTACTTTTCAAGTGCTCTATTAGATTTATTATTCAGTATACTTATAATTCCTTTTAAGATTTCTCTTTATAAACCTTCTATGACTTTTATAGACATTCTTATAACTTTCACAATTATTCTTAAGTATTCCTACTCTAATTTCCTTTCTTCCTATTATATTCCTTTCTTTATATCCCTTCTCACAATTTTTACTTGCTCAACTCTAGTTCTTTATTGGTACAGACCCTCTGTAACTTATACATACCTTTTACAACTTACACATACCTTTTTCAATTTACATATACCTTCTGTAACTTACACATACCCTTTCAGTTTGTCTACTTCACTTTCTTTTTCCTGTATCTCTATATCTTCTATTACATGAAAAGTATAAATTCCTTCTAATTAGTTATGATTAAAGGTTAGTTCTATACAGGTTCCTCTATTCCCAGCTTCAGAGCAGCTGGAGTGGTGAGAAGTATGTCTCAGAGTCTATCTCTTTACCCTCCTGTTGGCCTATCGTCCTTGCTCTGCCCATGTCTGTCTAACTGCCTACTGTATGCCCCTCAGGATCTTGGCTCTGAATTCTTTTAGGAAAAGGGATGCCAGATTTCTTCTGTAATTACTTCCTGCTGAGGTGGATCAGAGGTTTCTCTCAGAGCCAAGAGATGCTTGCTCTCTGTCAGAGGATGATGAGGCCTGGGCACAGAAGGAGGTGGCAATGGTGCCTAAAGGTGGTATTCCCTAGATGCAAGTAGGGCTTGTAGTCTGGTGGAGACAAACTGTGTTATAAAATTTAGTATTATTGGGCAAAAATTAGAACAGTTTTTAACAATTTTCTGTTGAAACAATTTTTCTCTCTAAAATACCCTCATTTTTATTAAAGACTAATTTACTTACTGTATTAAGTCTAGTTATAATTTGGCCTGATTGTTTGTATGAACACAACAAGGATAACAGTTGATTACATCAGCTATTTTTTTAAAATGTGCTTTGCTGGGATCTCATTGGAAAGTTTACTCCCAGGGCGAAGGAGCCAAGCCACACAGTTGCCATCAGGCTTCGCCTGCAATACCTACAGAATTGGGGTGCAGTCCTCAAGTTGAGGTCCCTACAGGTGTCTTGAGATTTCTTTCATGCCATCTCTCAGGAAAGCAACCTTCGTTCCTTACCTGGAAAAACCACCATGAACTATGTGACCAAGTAAGGTACCAGGCTCTTTATCCAAGGGGCTTATCGGCTTCAAAGTCAGTCTTCATTCCTTAGAGCTTCCCTGTGACATCCAGAGTCCTGGCATGTCTCTTTCAGACATGAGAATCCAGCAAAGTTTTGGTTAACAAAACTACAATTGGAAGCTGACTTATATCCTGTTATGAAGAAATCAGATTCTTATTGGATTCATGCAAACAAACACATTGCCATGAGAACAATAATTACTAAAACTATAATTATTTTTAGTTCATTAGCCCTATAATCAAATTCTTTTTCTCCTGAGTTTTCTTGCCAGTATTTCTATAAATCCAGATACTCTATTGAGTTCTAATAATTGTTATCCAATTCGAGAGGATGGTCTGAAAGTTTATTCTCAGAGATATGTAGCTGAAAATAAATCAGAGTCCTTTCCATGGAACCCTCAGAAGATGTAACATTTTTTTAAATGTCTCCAAATGACAAGAAATTTAAAATGACAGTTATTGATTTGATTATAATGCAAATGACATGGAATCTTGCCTTTTTTTCAAAATACAATATTCCACAATATTATAACTTATAACAATTAGTTATAAATGAAAGCATATTAGATTCTATTTAATATGCATATATAAATATAATATAATTATCATTTCATTATTGGACAGAGCTTCCCATATATCTTAAGTATAAAATTTTCCTTCAGAAGGAGAGAAAGCAAATCCCTGAGGCATTCCAGGGCCCATTGGAATGACCTAAAGTCATTTCTAGGTCAAGGAAAAGTTTCTTAAAATTCAAACCCTGGGAAGGTAGTCAAATACGTTAAACTAAAAGATTATATATTATTATTATTAAACAGTATTAAGTCATCTATTCATTTAAAGTAATCAACTTCCTGATTAACATAACATAATCATTTTAATAATGTATATATATAAAATCTTTGCTTCCTAGGTAAATACAGGAAAAACCGTTTTTTCCTTACTTTCAGAAACAGGCTTATTTTTCTAATGGGAAACATACATTCTTAAGAAGCATAACAGAGATAGTGAATTCCTTAGCTGACAAACAATTCTCTCAAACTTGGAAATCCCAAGCAGCTCCAATGACTTACTGCGCAATTACTTTAGTTTTCTTACTTTTCATTTTTGAGGGTTCTGCCATGTTTCATTGTGTTCCTTGGTCCTCACACGGGGCACCACTTGCCGGAACTGACTGGCAGACCCTGAACGATGGATGAATGATGACTCTGACACATGTTTCTGTGTGAGAGAGGCCTAAGGGACTGCTTGGCTACAGGGACCAAACAGCCCCGTTCACCCGCCTCCTTAGGCTTTTATTGTAACAACAGCTTGAACTGAAATTAACTATTAGACACTATCAGCAGGGTACGCATCCTTGTGAAGACACATGCATCTGCAGTGTCCTTTAAGCAAGGACGTGTCTAAGTAAACACCAGGGGCTCAGAATTGTTTGGAAAAGTTAAGGCAGGGGCAGGCGCCTTCAGCCAACTCCTGCCCTATGCCTCTCCACAGGCCAGAGTAACTTTACATACTTGGAAATTAAACAACATGTTTCTAAATAACCATTGGGCCAAGCAGACATTCCAGGGAAAATTAGGAGTAATTTAAACCACATAGCAATGCCATTGAGCACATTAAAATGTGTGACCTGGCTAACACCATCCACAGAGGAAACTTTTGCTTTAATAGTTTTATTAGAAAAGATGGAAGATGAAACCAAAGAGCTAAGCTTCCACCTCAACAAACTAGAAAAAGAGAGAAAATGAAAGCCAGGGCAAGTAGAAGAAAGGAATAAAAAGGAAAAGAATGTAATTCTGTAAAGTAGAATCAAGAGAGAATAGAACAGATATTACCAGTGGAATTCATCCAGTCTGCACAGTTTTCATTATTGTGTGAAATGCCTTTACCATCACACTGGCTCAAAGTTACCACCTTCCCCCAGAAAGATAGTAATTTTTTTCTTTTTCCCATTTTACGTGTTGCCTCTCACCAAAAACCTATCAAAGTTCCCTTTCATTCACAGTATACATACACACAGGCGCACACACCAGCATGCCTGCAAATATACCTCTATGTGCATACTGCCCAGTGTACCCCGTTTTATTAGTTTTCTAAGTGGGTGATTGATTATACAAAGTGTCAGTGTCACTCAGGATACAGTGTAGATGGTCAAAGACCTCTGAGGAACAGCCAATTCCTGAAGGAAGAGCAAAATGAAAACAATCTTTCAGGAAATGAATGGAGGTATTTGCGTGTGCACACATACAGATTTCACCCCAAAATTTCAGATGTAAGAAATTGGTCCGTTTGATGCCAATTAACTTTCATCCCTTATGGTAGCAGGTTCCTTAATATGCTGTCTGTGCTCACTTTGTGCGTCCTCTCCAAAAAAGTTCTAGAATATTCAAAAAATGTTGTGAGTGTACATTGTGTTTTGAATGTCAGTGTGTAGAGTAGGAGATAAAATTCAGAGACAGGCTTCATGGGAGGTTATGTTAAAAGGAACCAGAGGCCCCTTTGGTGAAATGCAGGATACATTTGTTCAGACGCAGTCCATTCATTGCACACCATCAAGGACTGGGTGAGCTCCTTCGTGTCTCACGCTTCTTTTTTAATTTCCTCTCTTGCAGATAAAGAATTCATCTACAGAGAGCATAAAGGAAATGTGATACTGCGGAATGTTGAAACTAATCTGTCTACAGTGTTAATAGAAGGCAAAAAAATTGTAAGTACTCTCCTCATTGACCAGGATAATTTCCGCGGTCTCCTGCAAGTCAATAAAGCAGAAAATGACTTTGAGTTTAAACTTTCAGTATAGCCGAGCAGAAGCAATGAACTTGTAATACTCCAGGCTGAGCAAGGATAGATAACGTGAAATTGAAACCACACTAATTAAATAAGATAAAAGCCCGGATTCTCCTGGTGTTCGGGACATTTCTCTGGGGTGTTGAAAACAAGTGCTGCAGATCATATGTAATTGAAAGATCAAGTCCCCAAGGCTTCCCACATTTACAGGACAACTAGAGGCCTGGTGCACAACATTTGTACACGGCAAGGGGCAGTCCCCTCAGCCTGGCCTGCACCGTCTCGCAATCCGGAACCTCCTCAGGGGATGTCCGACTGCCGGCTTAGGCCTGCTCCCTGGGCATCCCCCAAGGGGTCCTTAGCGCAGCTGCAGAGGCAGGAGAGGCTCCCACCACCGCTGCTGTACTCACCAGCCGTGAGCCCGGCTTCTGGCAGAGTGGCACTCCCCCTGCTGGAGCGCACTAACCACCAGGGGGCAGCTCCTGCATTGAGTGTCTGCCTCCTGGTGGTCAGTGCGTGTCATAGTGACTTGTTATTCCACCGTCTGGTCTATTTGCATATTAGGGTTTTATTATATAGGACTAGAGGCCCGGTGCATGAAATTCGTGCACAGGAGTGGGGGTCCCTCAGCCTGGCCTGCACCATCGCCAATCCGGTACCCCTCAGGGCTGCTGGCTCCTAACGGCTCACCTACCTGCTGGCCTGATCCCCCTAACTGCTCTCCCCTGCTGGCCTGATTGCCCTAACTGCTTTCCCCTGATGGTCTGATCCCCCTAACTGCTCTCCCCTGCTGGCCTGATCCTCCTAACTGCTCTCCCCTGCCTGCCTGACCGCCTCTAATCGCCTCTGCCTCAGCCCTGCCACCATGGCTTTGTCCAGAAGGTCATCTGGAAGATGTTCAGTCTAACCTAAAAATGCAGGTTGTTAGCAGGTTTTCCTATCATGGAAGGGGAGCCTGCAGTAGCATCCTGGGTTCTGACCAGGGCTTATGCACTCGTGCTTTATCTCAGCAGATGAGATTCCTAGAAGACTCTTGGATGTACCTTGAACATTTCTATCGATTTTGCCAATCATCCTCCAAAAATGTTGAACCACTTTAAACTCCCACCAGCAGCCATGTGTGTGCCCTCTGTTCTACTTTGATGCCAGTATCATTGATTTCCCCCTAGAAGCTTCCCTCCCCTCAGCCGGGACTGTTTGGCACTTGAGCCAAACTCACTGTTCACCCTGGGACTTGATTTCCCGAGATAGAATTATAGAGGAGGAAAAATAGTTTTCCTCTACCCTCCTGAGTTCTTAGCAGAGGCCCTTGTAATGAAAGACAGATTACCAAGAGAAAAACAAAAATTCATTAACATGTGTACCTAGTGTTACAGTCAGCGTAGAATGCCCCACACCCTGGGTTTGTCTCCCTGTGGGAGATCCCAGGGAAAAATGAATAACTCCCCAAGGTGGCTTAGAATCCAGATTTAAATACCTTCTTCCTAGGGAGAGGGGACGGGAGATGTAGGCCTCTTAGAGGAGAGTAAATGATTTTTAGAAAAGATGAATGGTGGTGGGGGGAATAGTTTGTAACAAAGTTTGGGTGTGATGTCAACTTCTAGTCTCCTGTCCTGTCTTCACTGTTCATTAGCTGATGGCACTTTTCCCATCAAGGGAACCTTTTTTTTTTGGGGGGGGGGGGTCCTATTTTAGGCAGAACAGGAGACTTCAGTGAAAACCTCTCCTTGCATTTGCTGTTTTTCAAGCATCTGCAGGTCAAGATCATCAATATAACAACACGGCATATGTTGGGGTGGCCTGTTCTCTGATTTTCAGAATAAACCCAACAAAAGCTTGTTTCCTCTCTTAGATGATTCGCCACAGTAGCCTTATTACCTGGAGACAGTATTCTGACCAGACCTTCCTGGCAGTGGTCATTACATACCCTGTGCTTGTAGAAAGGTGTGGGCCATATCACTAAATAAATCAGAGTCAGTTTTCTCATTTTGTGGAAAGGGAGATAAAGTTATGACAGTTTATCTCCCTTTCCACAGGTTTCCTGCCATTTTGTGTCTCTGCTGCAGCCCCAGCGGCCCCAGTGCCTCTGCAGCCTCGAGGCTAGGGGTTGCTGGGTGCCAGCTCCCCTACGGGCTGTGTCTCAGCGTCTCCTTGGGGCTTGGGGCTTGGGGCTGCTGGGTGCCCGCCCACTTGAAAGCTTGTGTCTCTGCTCCTCCAACCCAGTCGCCGAGGCGGGGCTTGGGGCCGCTGGCTGCCGGCCCCCCTGCGGGCTGTGTCTCTGCTCCTCCATCCCGGTGGCAGCGCCAACCAAGCAGGCCCAGAGGCCCTCTACCAGTGGGTTGGGGCAGAACGCCTGTGTTGTCGCCATGGCAACAACGCAAGCACCCTGGCCCAGCCACCGCCATCTTTGTCACGGAGTGACAGCTAATTTGCATATTACTCTTTTATTAGATAGGATTGTGATCATGCATAGGAAATAGTTCAGGAGGACTTGCTCAATCTCGTCTTAAAAAACAAACTAATCTTGGGGGGTGGGTTAGAGGTAGAAGAGGGTATATTAAGGATAAATGGTGATGGAAAAATAACAATAAGAAAAAAAAGAAAAAAATAGCCTCTACCAATGATACTGCTGTAATTAACCTAGTTATGCATAACAGGAAGTGAGCAAAGGGAAGGCCAGAAAGTATAGGCATGTTCCGTGCAATACTTACTTGTCTGTCAATCACACCTGGGAACAGAGGTCACTGGCCAAAATGGGTGTGGCCACTGCAGTGGACTAAGACTAATTCCCCTAAACAAAGGAATTCACTTGCCACAGCTCACAAGTACTCAGTCCCCGTGAGTGCCACAGATCATGAATACTCAGTCCATGTGAGTGCCCATGCTCACAAGTACTCAGTCCATTGGAGTGCCATTGCTCACAAGTACTCAGTCCCCGTGAGTGCCACAGCTCACAAGTACTCGGTGCCCGTGAGTGCCCCTGCTCACAAGTACTTGGTGCCCGTGAGTGTCCCTACTCACAAGTACTCAGTCCTAGTGAGTGCCACAGCTCACAAGTACTCAGTCCATTGGAGTGCCACTGCTCACAAGTACTCAGTCCATTGGAGTGCCCCTACTCACAAGTACTCAGTCCATGGGAGTGCCCCTGCTCACAAGTACTCGGTGCCCGTGAGTGCCACAGATCATGAATACTCAGTCCCCGTGAGTGCCCCTGCTCACAAGTACTCAGTCCATGTGAGAGCCACAGCTCACAAGTACTCGGTCCCCGTGAGTGCCACAGATCATGAATACTCAGTCCCCGCGAGTGCAATTTGCTCACAAATACTCAGTCCTCAGGGGGCAAAGAAAAGGACGCCTTGGCCTGGGTACCACCCCATCCCGGACCCATCCAAAATGCTGCTCACCCTTCTTTTCTCCTCAAAAAACCACTTAACTTGCTGTTTAAAATGCCTTTCATTTCCCTTTGGTGTGATGATAGTTTTTTTTTTCTTAAAAAACAAAAAAATAAAAGTGTATTAAGCCTTGGCTGGGTGGCTCAGTTTGTTGGTGCATAGTCCTGTGTTCCATTCTCCATCAGCGCACGTACAGCAGGCAACCCGGTCAATATCTCTCTCTCTCTCTCTCTCTCTCTCTCTCTCTCTCTCTCTCTCATCAATTACAAGAAAAGCTTTTCCTTGGGTGAGGGTAAAAAATAAATAAATAAACATTGTATTGAGGTTTGGTGTGGAATGCACCCTGCCCTGTAAGTAGACAGTGTGCTGGTGTAAGGGAGGCCTGGCAAGGCTACGCCACGGTGCAATAGCTTCATGGAATTAGATCACATTCTGCACAGGGAGACCCAGAGAGAATCAATGTGCCTGGGTGTTTTCCTTTAAAAATCACCTTTGGTCCAATTACTCCCCTACGGAAATCTGACTCGGCCCACATAGAAGGACTGCAGGTGCAGGACTGGATTTCTGATAGGAATCAGGAGGAGGGAACGATCAGCCCATGGCCGAGGGTAAGTGCGGTTTAATGTCCCCACCTTGTCGATATTTCCTGCGAGGATGTCAGTTTAGGGAAAGCCGGCGCTGTGCGCGCAACTGTACTTAGTGATGAAATACGAGCCTATGAACTGCCTTCTATTCTCAGATCAATAGCTTGTGACACATCATATGTTTTAGCTGAAGTTGTTTTAGCCAAGAAAGGAGGCAACAGCATCAGAAGCCACATCAGGGAAAGGGAAGCCTCTGCTCCCAGTGGGGCAGACTTGTTCCTCTTCCTCCCTCCCTCCCTCCCTCACTCCCTCCCGTCGACTTTTCAGAGCGTCAGTGATCAGAGCTATCCTCCGTACCATCTCGTCTACGTACATGCCCGACATCCACTATATGACGTACAGGGGGACATGTAGATGAGAAACGGTATGCGCATCGGACCATCGTCGAGGCTGTGTGCCGTGCCTCGCGGCGCTGCTT